CTTCCATGCAGTGGCGGCTCGTGGACGAAAAATCTGGGAAGGCCACTTCATGATCTTTATAATGAATAGTAGTATTAATTGTAGTATTATTATATTATATTATCATTGTAGTATTAATGGGAGCATGAAGCACGAGTGGTGTGCTTGGTGGTCAGTCGCTGAGCGAGGAACAGTGTCAGTGTCATGTTGCGATACATATTGTATCGAAACCATCTGAAAGTAGAGTGGAAATCCATCAAACATTCGAGTGAGAGAAGAGGCGCATCCGGCCCGAGGAGAAAAGTAGTGGTCAGACGACTTAATCCCCTCGCGAGTTTCACAACTTCTAAACAAAATCGCACCTAGCACACAAAATATCGTAATGATGTATAATATTGTTACGGAGGGGAGGTGGCAGACGGACGGCATGAGAGGTCGAAAGAACCCAAGGAACGGCCGGGAATTGAACCCGGGCCTCCTGATTGCCGGTCAGAAGCCCGAAAAGCTCTCTACTTGAAGCACGGAGCTTAAAGACGTGATGAGCTCATGCTAGCACGCACTCGCGCTTGTGCGCAATGCAGACAGTCTCCCTGCTTTAAGTATGCAATGGTATTGCTAGTGCCACGAGATACCCCTATGCATTGTCTATGAGCCAGAGGAAGCCACCAGGCTCTGGCCTCCCATGGACGATTCCGGACAGGAGTAGACTGTCTGAGACCGGACTTCGCTTGTTTTGCTAATTGAGAATGAATCCAATGATTATCATATATTTATTTTCCTAATTTACTAATCCAAATTGATATTTTCAGTCACATGGGAAGGGTCTCCTGAGATTTTTTGAGGAGGCCGGGCCTCCCTTGCCGCCGCTGCTTCCACGTCACCCACAAATTAAAAACATGCAGAGTTACTAGGAGGCAATTCGAGGAGAGCGAAGCACGAAAGGTTCCGTCGGCTCGTGATGGTCTACACGCATGTCGAAGCACATCTCGCTTCGTCCTTGAGGCGCGACTGGCTTCTTTTGCGTTGCGGTTCCCACGGCCGATGCTCGAACCAAGGTCTGCATCGCGACCGCTTCGCACCGTCAGGTCCCCGAACGAAACGGCGAGGCAAGCGCAGGACAGAGGGCAGAATTTCGTCTCATTTCCACGCATGAGAGGGAGGTGGGGCGGACGCGCACGTCTTTTAACACAAAAATATAGAAACACCATATTTTGACACCCAGTCGTGCACGTGATATTACGGCCCATCTGCATGCATCGTTCTTCTTTTACCGACGGGGAAAAATACAGAGGATAGGCAAAGAAAACCAGGTTGGAGTCACGGACTAGAGGTGTGCGCGTGAGTGATTTTTGACTCACGATCACGAGAGGAAAACCGAGTTGTCACTTACTTTCACGCAAACTCGAGATTCAATAGTACTTGAGAATCACGAACACGCACGATCATTGCAAGCGTGAATTAAACTCACGCAAAATCATGCGTGATCCCACGTGACTCGTGTCACGCGTGATAGTCACCACTTCGTTTAAAATAATTCCAATTATTTGTTTTGATATTGTATATAAATATTAAATTGAACAAGTAAGTGTGGCACAATACGATGTGAATGAGTACGATTAGAAGAAAAGCAAAGAGAAATAACTTGCTGAAATAGTTCCATCCTTATAAAAAGCTAGAACTACTATCCTATTTTAAACCCCTATTTCCTAAGTCCTAAATACCTATTCCACAAGAATGCAGAGCTGGATGCGAGTGATACAAGGCCACGCCACAGTCGAACTGAGGAAATTAACTCTCGGACAATGAATGAAAGGGAAATAGAGCAACTTTCGGTATATATATATATTTCTTTTTCTCCAGGAAAAGCATGCATGAGAATATGGAACTTTCGACGTTCCCACGGGTTCGATCTTCGATCCTCGTTGAAGGATATTAGAAATCTGGCAGTCTATAAAAAAAAGGAGAGAAATTAAAAAAAATACGATCACGATAAAGACATTCTCCGAACCTCTGTTCGAGTAACGACTCACGAAAAAGGCCCTGAGTCCCGCGTGAAGCGGGACTCACGCACACTTCTATCACGGACACGGATTCGAGTTAACCTGGGCCGGTGGTCCCAGAATTCCACCACTGCTTTGGGATCTACAGTGGATCTAGTCTGCCATTTCGTATCGACGACCTTTTGACGAAAAAATAAAACTCGCTCTCAGATATTGTGAAGAAGTTGCTTCTTTGAAAGTTCTCGCTCGTGAACAAAATTCATATTTCCCTTTCTCACATGGTACTTTTATATTCCGTCAGATTTATCATCATTTTCAGCTTTTTTTTTTCTCTCGCCCAAGAAGTTAACCGATGCGAGAGGCATGCACAAATCTTCACGCTCCGTCCACTTTTTTTTTGATAAAGTGCATAAAACATCTGCCGCTTCGCCTTCGACTTCGGGGCTACCAGAAGCAGCGCGGGGTACAGCCGCTCGCGTCGGTAGAAATATACACGAGATTCGATGAAGGCGAATTACCGGAAAAAGAGAGGAAACAAAGAGGGAGAGGAACCGTAACGGAACTCGTTGGATGTGACACTGACGCTCGATGCCACCACCGAGCCGAGGCGGCGAGCCCTCATCCGATATACGCCATGGGACCCCAACGATTCCAGGCTGTCGTGCTCGGAAAGCATACCGCATGCGCTCGGCAACCGATTCTCAGGAGTCAGGAGTCAGGAGAGTTAGTGATATCAAGAGGCGATTTCGCCCATTTCGATATCACGTGTCGAGGTTGAGCGTTCCTTAATTTTAGGATAGGCCTAACCCTCCTAAAGCAAAATATTTTTGTATTTTTGTATTTTTGTATTTTT